GGCGCGGGTGGGGTGGGGGTTCACCAGAGGAGTTGAAACTTCTTCCCAACCACCGGAAAGGCGTATGTGGGGAGTCTGAGCCGCCAACAAGACCAGGCCTTCCCAGCGAGACTTGCCCGTGTGGAGGATCCCTCTCAGGAATCAGTCCCCGCTCGGAGACTGGAGACCTCGCTCCTGGCGCAGGGGCGGAGCTGAGCTCCAGATGTCCGGGCGCGCACAGCTGGAAAGTCACGTGGCACGGTCCCCGTCCCCCTTCCTGCCAACGCTGCATTTGGCGCAGGCCCGATTCATGGCCGCCCTTGGGACCCTGAACCGAACCCCGGCGTCCCCGGCATCAGGGGCTACGCCGCTCCCGGGGGCAGAGCGTGAGTGTCGGGATCCCTAGGACCGAGGCTGAGGAGGGGTGGCTGGGGAAAGGCAGAAGGGATCCGACCTCAGCGCGGGGGAGGGGGCTGGGAGTGAGGCCGAGGCTCCCTGCCTCCCCACGCGCTCTTGGGACACCATCCTTGGCAGGAGATGAGAGTGGGGGGAGTCAGATACAAAGGGGAACGTCTCGACCCTTCAGGCTGCGGGTACCGCGGGTGCGTCAGGACCCAGAGTAGGTGGTAGCGGGAGACCCCCGGGGCGTGGCCTCCACGCCCTCCTCGCGGGGAGGGCGGGGCTCGGAGCCCAGGCCCGCAGCCGGCTACCGCTTGGGGAGCCCCTGTCTGCGCCCCTTCAAAAGGAGGGAGGGCGCCCGCCACGCGGACATGGGGAGGAGGCTGCGCCTACGCGGGGACGCGTCGCTTACGCTGGTCCTCGGCGCCGCCCTCGGCCTCCTACTCTATGCGCAGCGCGACCGCACTGCCCCGACCACAAGCGTGCCGCGACCGCGAGGGAGGGCGGCACCAAGGCCCACCCCAGGGCCCCGCGCGTTCCAGGTACCAGACGCGGGTGCAGCCCCGCCGGCCTACGAAGGGGACACCCCAGCGCCGCCCACGCCCACGGGACCCTTTGACTTTGGCCGCTACTTGCGCGCAAAGGACCAGCGGCGCTTTCCGTTGCTCGTCAACCAGCCGCACAAGTGCCGCGGCGACGGCGCACCTGGCGGCCGACCCGACCTGCTCATCGCCGTCAAGTCAATGGCCGCGGACTTCGAGCGGCGCCAAGCTGTGCGCCAGACATGGGGAGCGGAGGGTCGCGTGCAGGGGGCGCTCGTGCGCCGTGTGTTCTTGCTGGGCGTGCCCAGCGGCGCAGGCACGGACGGGGCGGACAAGCGAACGCACTGGCGCGCCCTGCTGCAGGCGGAGAGCCGTGCATACGCAGACATCCTACTCTGGGACTTCGATGACACTTTTTTCAACCTAACGCTAAAGGAGATCCACTTTCTGGCCTGGGCTTCGGCCTTCTGCCCCGACGTGCGCTTCGTTTTCAAGGGCGATGCCGACGTGTTCGTGAACGTGGGAAACCTGCTGGAATTCCTGGCGCCGCGGGATCCGGCGCAGGACTTGCTTGCTGGTGACGTGATTGTGCAGGCGCGGCCAATCCGTGCGCGGGCCAGCAAGTACTACATCCCCGAGGCTGTGTATGGCCTGCCAGCCTATCCGGCCTACGCAGGCGGCGGTGGATTTGTACTTTCCGGAGCCACGCTGCGCCGCCTAGCCGGCGCCTGTGCGCAGGTCGAACTCTTCCCTATCGACGATGTCTTTCTGGGCATGTGCCTGCAGCGTTTGCGGCTCACACCTGAGCCTCACCCTGCTTTTCGCACTTTTGGCATCCCCCAGCCTTCCGCTGCGCCGCATCTGCACACCTTCGACCCCTGCTTTTACCGCGAGCTGGTTGTCGTGCACGGGCTCTCAGCCGCTGACATTTGGCTTATGTGGCGTCTGCTGCACGGGCCACATGCACCAGTCTGTGCGCATCCACAGCCTGTCGCTGCAGGCCCCTTCCAGTGGGACGCCTAGCTACCCCTCACAGCCCCAAGCTCCTCATTCAGACCCAGGTTGGAGGAGGGAGCTTGAAGGGCTTTCGCAGGCGAATAATTGCAGCGAATGTGGTTCTTCTCCACATCACAGGACGTCTCCCTCTACAGGGACTCCCAGGGTAGTAAGATTGAGCTTGGCTCCTGCTGGTCCACCCTGCTGAGAGCCGGTCTGGAATCAGTGTAATAGTGACCTTTTGAGCCGGGCAGACGTGGCCCCAGAGCAGTGGACATGCTTGGTCCTAGTAGCAAATAGGTGCATGTTCAGGTGGGCTGGCAGGGGCCATGGAATCCTACCACACTCTGATTTGGAACCCCTAGGATAATGCAGAAGGGTCCTCAAGACCAGGCCCCACGGGGAGATAGTGATAGGGGCGGGGAGGGGGGCGGCAGCTTTCCTGGACCTGGCATTCTGCCACAGCTCAATCTGAAAGTTGACATTTTGCTTCTCACCTGCCCCTCCAAATTAGATTCCCAGCAGCTGCCCAGGTCTTTCGATCTTCCCTGAGGTCTGCTTTCCAGGAGCCAACTCCTCCTGGGTCCAGGTCTGGCGGGAACACCAGGGATAGAGTCACATAAAAGGGACAAATAAGTACATAATCCCACCTAGTCTCCCTGCCTCCTACACCCTAACAATTGCCAATCTGTTACTGGAGGTTATGACGACCCTCAGAGGAGCCAAGGAACGTCTTCCCTAAGACTGCTCCACTATTTTTTTTTTGAGTTGGAGTCTCTCTCTGTCACCCAGACTGGAGTGCAGTGGTCACTCCTGGCCACTGCAGCCTCAACCTGCTGGGCTCTGGTGATCCTTCCACCTCAGCCTTCCAAGTAGCTGGAACTACAGGCGCGCGTGACTCCTCCACTATTAATTTTCCCATATTCTTCAACCACCCCCTTCCTCAAAAAACTAATACCCACACTCATTTTGTACAAACACCCCAGCAACAGCACATGGCAGGCCATTGCTGAGGGCATAGGTGCTTTATTGGAGAGCGGATGCGGGCAGGGGATGAGGAAGGTTCCCCCATTCCAGAAGGATGGGAACAGTCCTGGCTGCCCCTGACAGTGGGATGTACAGGGTCTCTGGCCAGGCCACAGTCCAAATGGGAAGACACCAGTCAGTCACAAAATCACAGAAGCGCCACACAAGTCTGGCTGTAGGCCCAGGAGCCATATAGGAACCTTGGGCAGGTCCCCTGCACATTCATCATTAAACTATACAGGATGAGGCTGTACATGAGTTAATTACAAAAGAGTCATATTTACAAAAATCTGTACACACATTTGAAAAACTCACAAAATTGTCATCTATGTATCACAAGTTGCTAGACCAAAATATTAAAAATGGGATAAAATTATACATTTCTCTTCTCAATTCTTTTCAAAAGGATTAATATTTTTAAAGCACATATATGCTTCTTTCCATTAGCAAGACCCATGAAGAGACTGAGCAGCCCAGCCTTCCTTGAGCCCCCAAAGGCCTTGAGTCATGAGAGGGCCTGGCTGGGGACAGTGCCCAGGGCTGGGGCAGGGAGCCAGCCCACAGTGCAGAATAGAAGGCTGAAACACAAAAGGAAAATGTCTTTGGCTAAAACTTTGGCATTAAATAAAAGAGGCAAACAGAATGGAAACATGCAGCCCTGCCAGCTAGGTTGGGGCAGAGCAGGGACACAGGCAACCTTGAAAGCTGGCTCCAAGAGGGGTGGGAACCAGGCCTGGGCACGTACCAGGATGGTAGAAAACTGTTTCGATAGTTGGGTGTGCCTACTGGGCCTGGCAGGGAGCACATGCAAGAGAGAAAGAGGGAGGGCAGGTGGGCCACCTTGGCCACAGCCAGCTCATCAAGTAACTAAAGTGGATGTAGTGCAAATGTCACAACCAAGTACTATGGACACCCTACCTGCTTGCCTTAAGGGTCATGTGGCAACATGGGGCCAAAGGAGGACCCTGTTCTCATCCCGGAGGCCTGTGTCCTCAGCCACAGAAAAAGCCCCAAGTTTTCCCAATGCACAAGATAGGAGTTGATGCATCCTGCCTCCTTGCATACTAGTTGAGAGCTCCCGGGTCCAGGTAGCAAGGCTCAAAGTTTGTGCTTCTCTTTGCAGTCTGTCCCCTGCTGTCACCAGCAGGCTGAGGACGGACGGAGGATAGCTGGGTCCCTAGCCCCGCAACAGAGCACCCAGCTTGAGCCCCACCTCAGAACATCACAACAGCCCTCCAACACTGGCAAGGTGGCCAAGGAAACCCACAGGGTGGCACACAGAGGCCTGCTGAGCAGGAGGCGATGCGGAGTTCTGTGGGGCAGGGGGCATGGGTGGTGATGTCCCTAGGGGAGCTCTGCTGTTCTCAGATGGGCCCCAGGTCTGGGGGGGCCATACAGGGTCACGGAGGCAATGTGGTTGTTCTGCATGACCTGGTGTGAGAAGAGGACAGTTGGGTCAAAGGGGAGGGAAGAAGGGATGTAGGCCAATCCTGTGCACAAGGGCTGTAAGTTATGTGTGGGACACACCTGCACACAAAGGCTGAACTTCCCGACCCCTCAACCCTCCCAACTCAGGCTAGGAGCCACCTCTGCCTGAGGCCTATTTCTCAAGGGATATATGCCCAATTTGTCTAGTCCTTCTGGGATTGCTGAGTACCTGCTGTTAAGTATGGCATCCAGAGTGAAACAGGGCAGCCCATTCTCCCAAGTCAGCAGGGCCTCCAGAGCCCATAGTACATTCATTCCCATGGCACTTGAGGGCTCCTGACACCTCCAGGCTGGGCCCACTGGCCCTGTGGTTCCTTTCCTTGATATACCATGTTTTCAGACATACACTTGACCCCAGATATCCCAACATCAATTCTGAACCCTCACTGGTAAGTGTGGGTAGCCAAGGTAGGTACTCACAAGACGGGGTTGCTGGGGAAGGATCAATCTGCCCAGCAAGGCAGTTAGGCCCTCCTCAATTTCCCTCAATCACTTGCCTGTTCTTGCCACGACCACCAACCCCTCAGCAGCTTATTTCTAAGAGGGCCTCCAGGGCTTACCTCAAAGATCATCCGCTGAAGACCAAAGCAAAATGTGGAGCCAAATGGGTTGGTGTTGTTTGGGGAGGAGGACCTGAGGCCAAAGAAGCCAGAATTAGAGGGACAGACAGAGGCCAAGGCCATGCTAGGCATCCAGTTTCTTTTGGGATGTGGCCATTGGTCAGTGGTCTCTCATGGCTGTGGGGGTATGTCTGTCTCCCACACTGGCCCTCAATGTCCTAGGAATCTTCCTCAGAAAATTACTATGGAATAGGACTGTAGAATGTTACCGTGGAATGGAACTGCAGTGGTGAAAATTTAGGAGAGCCCTTTAAAGAGAGAACCACAGGCAGCACAGCAACCAGGAATGGGGTTGTGGATTACATCAGGTAGCAGTTTTGATGGGAAAAAAAAGAGCCCAGGACAGCCAGCCAAGACCTCTTCCCTTTCTGAATAACTAAGAAGGCCCCTATACTTGGAGGTAGGGTGGAGGAAGGGAGCTATTCCTGGGGGCACCTCTCTACCACAGGTAAACAGAGCAGTTGGTCCAGTCCTAAAGTGCAGGGTGGGACAGAAAGTGTGTGGCAATTCCAAAAACACCTGTGATTTCTTTTCTTTTCTTTTTTTTAATTGGAGTCTCACTCTGTCACCCAGGCTGGAGTACTGTGGCATGCTCATGGCCACTGTAGCCTCGACCTGCTGGGCTCAGGCGTTCCTTCCACCTCAGCCTTCCAAGTAGCTGGAACTACAGGCACGTACCACCATGCCCATCTAATTTTTTGATTTACTGTAGAGATGAGGTCTCGCCAAGTTTCTCAGGCTGGTCTCGAATCTGTGGGCTCAGGCAATCCTCTCACCTTGGCTTCCCAAAGTGCTGGGATTATTGGCATGAGCCACACACCCAGCCACGCCTGTGATTTCTAAGCAATACCCACTATGCCAGGTTTCCCTGGGCCTTCTGAGCTGTGAGGAACAGGGTAGGATGGTCAGAAACAGCAACCTCCCAATCACCTGTGCAGCACAACGGGCTTCTCCACAGGGTGGCCCAGGAGCTCCTGGATGTTGTCCCACTGCAAGAAGAATAAATGGCAGAAGAGGTTAGCAGGAACCTGAACACACCTACAACCAATGGCTGGCCCGGAGAACATGACCCCAGACTGCTGGCAGGCTCATATCCACCTCATTCTTGGGCTGTGTTAGGTAGGAAAATAGGAGCTCACCTTGCTGTAGGTTGTACATGTTTCTGTCTGACCATCAGCATTTTCTGAAAAGAAAACACAGGGCAGTTTGGTAGCCGGCCCAGCCCACCTATGGCCTCAGACCTAGGCATGATTCAGATGTGGCCATCCTTTGCATTGGGGTTGAGTATGTAGGGAGGAAAGGTAGGCTGTTTTGGAATTGTAGGGTGGAACAGGATGGAAGGGTGAAAGAAGACCAGTCCAGTCAGGTGTGAGATATACCAACTGGCAGTGAGAGTCAGGCACCAAGGATGGGCTGTGGGTAGCCGGATGACCATCTGTAAACAGGGAAATCTTCCCCCCAGAGCCCGCAGTCTCACAGACGTAGGAAAAGGTCTTGAGGGCCTCTAGACTCCAGACCAAGAACAATGTAGCTCCCAAAACAAGTAGCCCACTCTGGAGGAGCAGAAGCCATGAGCAGAGGCTCCACACCTACTAACTACTACACCACCTCTGCTTAGATCTTTTTCTTTTCTTTTTTTTGAGTTGGAGTCTCACTCCATTGCCCAGCCTGGAATGCAGTGGCACACTCCCAGCCACCGCAGCCTCAACCAACTGGGATCCATTGATCCTTCTGCCTCAGCCTTCCAAGAAGCCAGAACTACAGGTGCACACCACCACACCCGGCCCTTTTTCTCTTTTCATAGTGGGAAACTGATTCAAAACCCCCTTCCTTGCCCTAAGGGTATTAATTACTCACCTTTTTTTATGGCTAGTGGGATCTTGAACTCACAGCGATGATAACTAGAGAGAAGGCAGAGAGGTAAAGGCTGAGCCTGCTGGGA